ACTGGAAAACAAACACAATCGCACCCCTTTTGTTAATGGATTACTACAACAACAATAGCTTTGACAAACCAAACTGAATTATAGACTAGTTACTAATATCTTAATTTTTCAATTTCTTTGTGACCAATTTCTGTCGCACAATAAGGCTTTCTTGCATTATATATTTTTTTTCTTCATAACAAAGACTTTTTCATATATATAATATATACCTAATTATATATTTTTTGAAGAATATATCAATTGTGTCGATGGTGACAGTTTCCATTGCTCAGGAGATATTTGTATTCGCAAGTCTGACGTATGTGACGGGAAGAGAGATTGTGAAGACGGAGCTGATGAACTTGGATGTGGTAAGAATACAACTACAGTTTCAGCATCTTCATAATTTCTTTTTCTATTTAAATTTTGTTTAAAAAACCATGCCATAATTTTATTACGAAGAAAAGATCTGAAGTTTCTAAACGAACACGCTTGTTTCAATATTTTGTTATCATTCGTAAGTGGGGAAAATTACGTTAAAAGAACCTTTGTTAGAAGGTCCAAGATTTTGTTTAGAAGGTACATTGTTTGATTAAGAGCATAAACTATTCTACTGTTTGAAATTAGCCTTTATATAGTTGCGAACATTATTTTGCTGATGTTTAAAAATGTTTTGATTCATGGTTTTAAAAAATGTTTATCGGCAAATGCATTCCTCCACTACTTACTATTTAAGTTGCATAGACCTGATATAAAATATTTTCATTTCGACTCTCATTAACGCTCCCCACAATCACTACAATAATTTTAAAATAATAATAACTTTTCCTGTCCTTATAAAGGTTTGCATTATTTTATACCATTAATTCACTTATTTCTAGTCCTCATTAATTTCTTTTGGTTTAATTAATTACCAATTATTGTTGTAATGATTTTTAATTATTGTATTTAATTAATTATTGGTTTAATTAATTGGGGAATTTATTCTTTGTTGCATTTATACAAGTACTTGATCTTACCTTATTCGGGTGTGCAGTTTTTAACCCTTTTGAAGGCCGTGGTAAGTATACTTACCACCACGTTTTACCGCATTTAATTTAGGTTTCCATTTTTCAATCTTGAAGTGAGTTTGAATAAAATTGGTAACCATTTGTCACTTTTAAAAAACGTATAAAAGTTCCTAATAAGTCATGTTAAATCTATTTACCACCAAAAAAATGGCATTTTTATAAACTTTATGAGTTTTTTTTTTATATCAGTTACTGTTCTTAAAACAATTTCAATTCCAAAAATACTTTAATTTACCTTTACTAGAAATAAAGGGCCCGTTAAAGGGTTAAATCTGAAGTCATTTTTTTTAGAAAGTTTCAGGTTTTTTCCAAAAGGATATTTTTAGCTTATTTTCTGTCTGAGTGCACAAGTTTATAAAAAGCGTAAATGCTTATAAGCATACATAAACACTTTTCTGCTTGTTTTTAAATAAACAGATATCGCGCACCCTCTTTCACTATGTAAGCTGACCAAAGTGGTCACCTACTCGTTTACTGACCGCAGCCAGTGCTGCTTGACTTCAGTGTGTCTTTACGATCAGTCCGGATAAGAATAGAGTAATAAGTTGAAAAAAAATAATAAAACAGCAGTGCCTGGAAGTAGCTAGCTAAGCAGGTTCTTTTTTGTATTTTCCCCTGTGCGCAATTAAGGCTTAACCATACATATTATACTATATAAAATGCTCAAATTTAGGTTTGTAGCAAATTTAGTAGTTAAGATTGTTACAACAGTAGGGCTTTGTATACATTTAGGCGGAAAAAAACCTCGCACTTTTCCTCGCTTTCCTTTTTTTCGCATGCTTTCGTATTGGAGTGGAAACTCTTTTATTGTTCTCAGAGAACAGTGATGGCCTTCTAATGAGGTAAACCGGGTTCGAATCTCAGCATCCGCTAGGCTATACGAATTCCGCATCCGTCTCGCACCGACCACAGTGCTGACGTAAAATATCCTCAGTGGTTGGCGGATCATGAGTTAGACTGCCCTTAACGTCAGACTAACTGTGGGAGGTTTTCCTCTCCATGCAACTCAGATGCTGGTTTCCATCAAAAAGTCCTCCACAAACGGAAGTTTCTCCCAATACTTGAACAGAACTTCCATTGCCTTCTGGATTGGGTTCAAAATTACAAGGCTACGGAGTAGTTGTAAACCCAAAAAATTGGGTCGGCTGTTCCACTACGATTGTAATATAATAATATTGTTTTCTGAACCGTGGTGGCTCAAGGGATATATCGTTCGTCTACCAATGAAATAAACTGGGCTTGAATCCCAGCGATGATTGGTCGATGTTAATTCCACACCAGCCTCAAGCTAACCACAGTGCTGACGTAAAATATCCCCATTGGTAGACGATTCATGGGTTCAAGACCCTTTGCCGTAGGTTTTCCTCTCCATGTTACGCAAATGCTGGTTTGTTCTATAAAAACTCGTCCACGAAGCCAAATTAAAAAATAAAAGGAGTTTCTTTGTTTTCGGACTCAAAATAACAAGGCTACGGAGTTGAACATTAGTCGTAAACTCAAATTTATGTCGTTTGTTGTACGGTGGGATATTTACAAAAAAAAAATTCTTCGCTGAAAATTCGGGATAAATAAGTAGTTTAATGGTAAAAACCATAAAAGTTGTAATGTTTTTTTTTTTTTTTTTTTTTTTTTTTTTTTTTTTTTTTTTTA